AGAAAAGAAAACAATATGCGAAAGTTGAATGACGCAATGAGGCCTTTCCACAGCCCTCATCAGAAGTTTTACAGGGTGATCCCTGAAAACGTGACAAACCACCACAAATATTTTTTTTATAATGGAACATCCTGTTTCTTATATTTTATATTCGGAATTTGTGAATTCTTGTGATCACAAAATATATACAGTGTGATTCAGGTTTTGAGGTTCAAACTGAATTGGGTGATAGATCTCATCATGTCAATTAAAAAAGTTTATTAACATGAGTCTGATCTCGATCAGTAGCGGATCTACAAGGGGTCAGAGTTCAATTATTTTGTTTTATTAATTAAAATATCTCGCTCACTCTTGAAGATATCAATTGGAAATTTGGTGTGGTTGATACTTCATAGGAATTCATCAGTTTAAGTAATTTAGAGATTTTTCAAATCTACAGAGTGATGATACGTTTTTTCGTTTTCGTACTACGCCTCTGATATTTTCCAGTTTCCAAATAGGGTGGATCGTTCAATTTGAAGGCTTTCATTGCATTTCCTTTTTTTCCCGAGAAACGAACCGTTTTCGTAAGAAATAAAGAAGCTTCTACCCCCAATAACGTATCACCCTGTGGATTTTAAAAATCTTCGAAATGCTTCAAATGATGATCATCTAGAAATTGACCACACCAAATACAAAAGTGAGCGAGATATTTCAATGAATAGAAAAGAATAATTTAACTTTGACCCCCTGAATCTCCGCTACTGATCGAGATCGGACACATATATTTATAGACACGTTTTTGATCAAAATGATGAGATCTATCACCCATTTCAGTTCGTACCTTAAAACCTGGATCGCCCTGTACATATACAGTGTGTTACAATTTGCTCCACCCCACCCTTGTACTTTCGTATTCCTAGGACGATTCAAGAATTTTTTTCTGATAATATACTACCCAAAATCATCTACTTTGTCAAGCAAAAAGAATTTTCAATCTTCTAGCAGAATTCAAGGAAACGGATTAGGCATTTTTTTATTTTGTCAATGGAAATCGATTCAGACTAGCCACAATTACTCTTATATCAATTTTCAAAACAATATCTCATAAGGGGTGTTTTTTATAAACGTTACAATTTTGAATAATTGAATTTTTCAAGTCACCGTGTATAATAATTCTTTCAAGAATTTGAATAATACCAGACATGATGGTAGTCAGGATCAGATTATCTGCCCGGTATCATTCAAATTCCTATAAGAATTATTATACATCTTGACTGAAATGCAATTACCCAAAGATTGTAACGTTGATAAACAACACCCCTTATGAGGTATTATCTTGAATATTGATATAGGAGTATCTCTGTGACTAGTCCGAATCGAATGCCATTATCAAAAATTTTGTAGAAAAATGCCTAATCCGTTTTCTTTAATTTTGCTGAAGTTTTTTTGATCGCAGTAGGCCAAGAAAATTGTGTTAGATAATTTCTTTGGCTTGACAAACTTGTTAATTTTGAGTAGTATACAGTGTGTCCCACTTACCATGCACACCATGGGTATCTTTTTAACGGTGAGATATACGAGGTCGGTTAAATGACACCAAATGTGGAGTTTGTCAAGGCCAACTATAATGGGAAAAAATATTTTGATAAAATCTATTCTTTTTTGTTTTATACGCAAAAAACAGATTTCGACCATTTTCATGTCTCCTCCGTAACTTCTTTATTAATGAAAATATTCAAATAGGAATTTCACATTCTCATAGCAGTTTTTCAAAGTAATTTCGAAAACAATATGAAATTTATACCAACTCTTCTAGAATTTGAGATATCAGCACCAACTTTGGCTTTTCAAATGTAGGTCATAGCTCACTATGACTTAGTTACAAATAACTTTTTTTTCCCTCAGATGATATATGTCGCAGTAATAGTTTTGTGTTGATAACAATGGAGTTATCGTCATTTATACAAAAACAAAAATTATTTGGAAGCCGTCATCTTGAATTTATGAATTTTAACAAAAAAATCATGATCTCCGACCTCAAAAACCCCCACTTACCAATTTTGAATGGAATCGGGAAGAAATTCCATAATGTATTGTCACCGAAATTATGAACACCTGCCAAATTTCAAGTTAATCGGAGTTATTGAATTTTTGTTGAGATTAAAAAAAATGGCTGCTCCAAGATGGCGGACAAGATTTGGTCCGATTCCATTCAAAATTGATAAGTGGTGGTTTTTGAGGTCGGAGATCATGATTTTCTTGTTAAAATTCATAAATTCAAGATGGCGGCTTCCAAATAATTTTTTGTTTTTGTATAAATGACGATAACTCCGTTGTTATCAACACAAAACTATTACTGCGAAATATTATCTGTAAGAGAAAAAAAAGTTATTTGTAACTAAGTCATAGTGAGCTATGACCTACATTTGAAAAACGAAAGTTGGTGCTGATATCTCAAATTCTAGAAGGGTTGGTATAAATTTCATATTTTTTTCGAAATCACTTTGAAAAACTGCCATGAGAATGTGAAATTCCTATTTGAATATTTCCATAAATAAAGAAGTTACGGAGGAGACATGAAAATGATCAAAATCTGTATTTTGCAAAACAATAACGAATAGATTTTATCAAATTTTTTTTTCACATTATAGTTGGCCTTGACAAACTCCACATTTGGTGTCATTTAACCGAGCTCGTATCTCTCACCGTTAGCATGCATGGTAAGTGGGACACGCTGTATTATGAGAGGAAAAAATTCATATCGCCCTAGGAATATGAAAGTACAGGGGTAGGGTGAATCAAAATGTAATACAGTATGACCTTCTATATTCAAAAACATAAAAAAAATATTTTCTGTGCACCCTGTGAAACTTTTGACAAGGACTGTGGAAAGGCCTCATAGTGGCATATTTTTTGTTTCTCTCGATAAAAATAACGTAAATATATAGGGATGGGCCTTTTCGATGGATACCAATCAATTTCATTGTTGATAAAGAAAAATGTATGGCCACAATCAAAAACGTATCAGAAACGAGCATACGATTCTAAAATCGTAAGGGGTGTACATTTTCGGCCACAAAATAAATACAGGGTCATCCAAAAAGCATCAGAATCGCCTCGAATTATAAATAGACATTCTGAACATAAAAATCATAGGTCCATATATCTATCTGGTATCACAATAATTGAAAATCAAAATCGAATGTTGATTAAAACAAAAAAAAATACTTTCGGCAAACTGGCCCTAATAAAAGCACGAGACGAAAACAATAATTGGTAACAAAAAAATTACACGACGGAAAATACACCCGAGAAGATGTCATTATCCCTGTCAATCATTATTGATTTCACGGTATCCATATACAGGGTAATTGTGAATAAGTGAGACAAACTTCAAGGGGTGATTCCATGTGATGAAATAAAGTTCAATAAACATGTGTCCTAATTTGCTTCGTTTTTAAGATATACAGGATGTTGAAGTTGGATATACAGGGTGGGCCACCAGTAACGCCTCGGTCTCTAGAAGGCTAACCACTTATCTTCTTGGAATTCTTCCTCTCTAGGAAGTTGCATGTCAACATAGGCTACCATTTGAAATTATTTTGAAACATACAGGATGTCCCCAAAAATCACAAAACAGTAAACACTGAAGTTGAACTTTTTTCAATCGAACACCCTAAATATTATTTCATTTTGAGATTCTCCCCGGTGAGCTGATTTCAATAATCCATCATACTTGGGTCTAGCAGTTATAATTACTGAGATATAGGGTGTGAGAAATCGAGATTTTCCAAGTTCAAGAATTTTTTGTGTCTAAACCATTCATAATTGGTCAAAACGGCTCACATGTCCTAATCTCAACTTTTGATCAACTATCTACTGACATTTAATTGAAACAAATACAGGGTGGTGCAGAATTCAGAATCTTGATCACCTGGTATATGTCCCAATTAAATATCAGTAGATAGTTAATCAAAAGTTGAGATAGGGACATGTAAGCCGTTTTGACCAATAATGAATAGTTTCGACAAAAAAAATCTTGAACTTGGAAAATCTCGATTTTTCACACCCTATATTTCAGTAATTATTATAACTGCTAGACCCCAAGTATGATGGGTCGTTGAAATCAGCTCATCAGGGAGAATCTCAAAATGAAATAATATATAGGGTGTTCGATAGAAAAAAGTTCAACTTCAGTGTTTTATGGTTTTTGAGGACACCCTGTATGTTTCGAAATAATTCTAAATGGTAGCCTATGTTGACATGCAACTTCCTAGAGAGGAAGAATTCCAAGAAGATAAGTGGTTAGCCTTCTAGAGACCGAGGCGTTACTGGTGGCCCACCCTGTATAAATTGCTTTGATTTATAACAGCTCTCTGTAAAAATTTTCATGGTGCCAAAATGCAGTATGGTTAAAGACAGAAAAAGCCCCAAAATTTCAAAATGATTCTTTTTGAGGTTATTGAGTATTCTCAAACACTAAGCGAGAAACATTGTTATTCCATTTGTTCAATCTAATAAAAATGTATAACCCAAAAAACAAATGGCGTACAATGATATTCACACCATAAATATCGATAAATTTAACGACTGTGGCGCCACTGGACATGATATTTTGAATCTGAGTACACCAGAAGAAGCTTATTTCATGTTTCTATCAACAAAACCATCAATTTTCATGTAATAAGTATCTCGAAAACGAAACAAGTTAGGACATCGGACATATGTTTAAATGAACTTTATTTCCTGAAATATCAATAGGATTTACCAACTGAAGTATGTCGCACTTATTCACAAACACCCTGTATATAAAAAAGTATAATAAAAATAAACGACACTCACTTTTTCGAACAGATATCACTATTATAGCGAAACGCCCTGTACGAATTCAATACATTTGTGCATCTAGTCTCTATGATACATTATACGCCTTAGTGGCTGAAGAACACTCGACGAATAAAAAATAAATACAAAAAAACGAGTCCATGCGCGCACCATATTATTTTTTGGAGGGGTCTTTAAGAAGCCAACGCCGTCCGTCCGCTAGAGGGCGCGTTTTGGGCAAAAAGGACACCCTGGTAGGTGATTCCGTTCAGTTCCATGCTCACCACTAGGGAATTGTCACCACTGCGGGAATCACCTGGAATAAAATAAAATATTGAGGTAACGTCGTATTGGAGTCAGTAACAAAGCCTACACAGAAAACACATAAGCTGAAATGCCTCTCGTTAGATCGAAAAGGTTCAAAATGATGAAATACAATTTCACTAAAACATGTACATAATCTGCAACACTAATTACCAAAGAAAAAAATACGTTGATGATCATATTATGTCACCCGATTCTTTGGCTTGTTTGGATATTTTAAAATTCATCGCCGCTCTCAGGATTCAACTGATTTCAACAATGTCATAGATGAACTTGTTCTTGTTTTCTTATATGAACTGATATGACAAAGATATCAGATTGATGTCGACAGAATGAGGTTAATTAAAATGGCAAGTATACCAAAATCCTTTAGTTTCATTGAAGGGATTGACCCTACAACATGCTACAACCTACTTGATTAGTAATCATGTCAGTTATAAACTTGTAGAATTGGCAATTTTGTTAAAACTCATATTGGTGACATTTTTACTACATCAATGAATATCGAATCATCTCGAAAGTTGACAGTTGGAACGATTCAAAAATTGAGAAATATTTACTTGATATTTCAACACACAATAACGCGATATGATGTCAATATTTGATAAACAATTTTGTCGATTGTCGCTGAATACTATGTTTCAACGGGGAGTCGTTAATCTATGTTTCAACGTTTCATGAAATGTTTTCACCATCTAGTGGTGAAGTTCTAAGGTGAGACCAAGCGATCGGAACACACTGTATGACTCCTACGTCTACAACGTTGCAAAGTGGTAGTACAAGTAAATCACTCTGCTGACAGATGGCACTACCTGACTACTTGAATGGAAGATCCTCTAGTCCTAGATTCATAACTAATAGATATTTAGTACCTATGGTACTACCTCCGAACAACAAACCCAGTTTAATGATCGAAGGGTACTACAATTGAATGAATACACAAATAATAGACACACTCTGAGAGTATCTATAGACGATTTCAGAAGGTTTGTTAATCTGTGATACGGACTTCTCGAAGGCGTTCGACAGACTTGATCATGGGCTACTTCTATCGAAATTATACAGGTTCGGACTATCACTGGCACTAATCCAGTTTTTTGCATCATATCTCACTGACAGACGCCAAATATGTTATATTCAATGGTTTCAAATCTATTGAATATCTAGCTACCTCGGGTGTTCCACAAGGCAGCAACTTAGGGCCGCTTCTTTCCAACGCATTCATCAATGATATAAGTAATCGATGTAATCGATGTCAATTGTTTATTGTATGCAGACGATTCGAAGATATGTTATGAAATAATTGGAAACGAGGATTGTGAACGACTCTCTCTCATTTTGAAGAGCGTTGAACAATTGTGCTCCCGTAACAATCTACTATTTAATGCTAAATAATGTGATGTAATGACATATTCACAAAAAAATCAGCTCATTCTATTTCAATATGACATTAATGACCTTGGTGTAACTTTTGACCCTAAACTTTCTTTCGCGCCACATATTGAAGCTACTTTGTCGGCCGCAAACAGGATGTACGGATTCATAGAGTGGATCTCCAAAGATTTTTCTGATCCAGCCACATCAGAAACGCTATGCTTTGCCTTCATTAGATCAAAACTAGAATATGTTTCTTTAATTTGGAACCCATCTCATCAGTCAGAAATAGAGGAAGTTGAACCAGTTCAGCGGCGTTTCCTGAAACTTCCTTCCTATAGATCCGATAACGTCTATCCACAAATTGTTTTTCCACACGATACATTACTAGCTAGACATGCCATGAAAAGCCTGTGCTGCCGTCGTGATTGTCAATACACAGTGTTTCTATTCAAAATAATGAATAATATTATCAGTGACCCATACATTATTTCGCAAAAGCTTAGTTTCACTGTGCCTAGACAAAACTCTAGAGTGGTCAATACATTTTATCTTCCACGAACAAGTATTTTGAAATACTCGCCTCTCCATAACATGTGTTCGGAGTACAATAACTCACAGCTAGACATCTTTCATTGTTCTATCTCAGCGATCAAGTCTTTTTACTTTAGGTTAGGTTAGGTTCCATGTGAGTGGGGCGAACACCTCCCCTCCACTGCGACCCCAGATGGGTCTATTGTGGCTCACCCCTAGAGGTTACAGTTCACCGTACAATCCACATCTTTTTACAAAGTTCATGGTTGAATTGGGTGAGATTTGTCTGAAATCGATAGGTTCTAGGTTGGTAAAGCCAAATGTGTCGAACCTTAGTCTTTCTAAGCTAGAGCATGAGCATAATATGTGTTCAGCCGTTTCGTCTTCCACACAACAGAACCGACAGTCCGTTTGTTGGTTCAGACCCATCCTTCCCAGGTGGTATCTTAGACGACAGTGTCCCGTAAGCAGTCCAGTCAGAATTCGCAGGTTACCCCTGCTCCATTCTAGGATCTGCCTGGTTATTTTTTCCGATGGTTTAGGCAGGAACGCCTTCGAATGGGTTAATCCTGGTAATTCGGACCAGTACGTGAGTGTTTTTCCCTCCGCCCAGCCCGAGATAGTTGTTTTCGCCGCACTTGCGGTGACCCCAAAATATGGTTCTGGTCCTATGAACACAGATTCGGTTCCCTGTTTGGCGAGGATGTCGGCTTTCTCGTTACCCTCCACCCCCTGGTGTCCAGGCACCCACAGCAGAAATAGAGGAAGTTGAACCAGTTCAGCGGCGTTTCCTAAAATCTCTTCCCCATAGATCCGATAACGTCTATCCACAAATTGTTTTTCCACACGATACATTACCTACTAGCTAGACATGCCATGTCAATACACAGTGTTTCTATTCAAAATAATGAATAATATCATCAGTGACCCATACGACATTATTTCGCAAAAGCTTAGTTTCACTGTGCCTAGACAAAACTCTAGAGTGGTCAATACATTTTATCTTCCACGAACAAGTATTTTGAAATACTCGCCTCTCCATAACATGTGTTCGGAGTACAATAACTCACAGCTAGACATATTTCATTGTTCTATCTCAGCGATCAAGTCTTTTTACTTTACTTAATATTATGTAATTTTGAAGCACTTCAGGCATTTCTGTTCTTGCCTATTGAAAAAAGTCCAGAAGAATAACGAAGTGTTGTACGAGGCTTACTCCTCGTATTTGCGATGCCCTCTTCCGTTTATTTCTATTCGCGGCGAGAAACCATCAATCTTCCTCATCATTAAATGTTAACTTTGGTAGGTCGCAAGTGACACCTAAAATGTTTATTGAAATTCGGGGCGCCGATCATTAATTTCAACAAGATCTAATTTCGCATTTCGCAGGAACAGAAATGACGGGAATTGAAGAGATAACGAATCGATTGTTGGAGACTTTTGAGCCTTTTCTTGTGATGAGCCCAAAAATAAAAAATCAAGGATGGGCTGTACTGACTTTTCTCATTTTTCATCTTTCATTCTCATTCTTCATACTAATACTTTCAATTTCAGCACTTTCCGAAAATTTTTTGGATGGTTTTATGGTTTAGAAACCACAAATGTAGTGAAATTTGTGGTTGGATAAGAATGTATACCATGCGGTGAAGTTGATGATGGTTTGTCCGAAACGAAACGTCGTACGGAAAATCTATCAACGCTGATTTGTAAAGCTTTAAGATTCTATACGAGAAAGGGTCTTTCGTTTTCCTATATCTCTTTAAATAACGTCAAAGAAGAAACGATTCCATGATGGACATCCTTATCTTGGACACTATTGTAAATATGTTATAATAGGTAAATTATTTGAAATTCAAACAATGAAAGCGATGTCTGTGAAATTAAGTATATTTTTAACATTCTCACTAATCACGTTCCATCTTGTAAGTCTGCAATGTTCAACAACAAAATATATGCCCAGAAAGAGTTTCAGGAGGTTATGTCCAAAGTCAGAGTGTTTTAAATTTTGCATGCTCTTGATGAAACCAGAGTCACCAGACCAACTTTATTGGCTTATGTGTTTTCTAAAGATCCACCCTGTATTCACAATTATGTTAATCAGGTTTTACCTCCAATGTCGAATAATTCATGTACTATTCAAAATTAATATAATATCAAAAAGTTCGATTATTGCATGAACTTAAAAATCATGATTGAGATTGAAAATTGGCTGTATCAATCGGTAGTAAGGATAATCTAAGTTTGATAGAATATTTTCCATTTTACGTGTTGAGGATCAAGCAGTCGAAGCAGTTCAGAGTTCAAGGACATATGGGAAATAAAATTGCCTTTCAAACCTCATTCACAAGTTGAAGAAATTCATCACAAAAATTTGTTGAGAAAAATATTCAAAAAATTTCCGAAGGAAAAACTATGTTTTTCATGAAAATTCAAATCGTCATATCTACCGAAGGGATAGTGCTTACAGAAAACACCTATAACATAAAATCGAGAAAATATATCAAAGTTGTTACCTACCCTGGTGATTTTTTCTCAAAATTTCGGATTGTCAAATTTGTCGAACACATGTTTCCGTTTTGTTTCATTTAATATAGGAACATATAGAGAAATACAAAATGTTCATATATTCTCTTCTACACCTATTTCATGCAATGGGGAAGTTTCCTAATGGGAATCGATAATAAAATCATTTCTGCCAAAAGTGGATTTATCTGGTTTTGGCTGATCGCTCCTCAGTTGTTCTTTCTATACTAGTGACATAATAAAAACTGAAAAATATGTCAAAAATTGGAAAAAAGGGCTAGGAAAAAATGAAAAAAATCAACTCACCTCTGGTATTAATCTTGATATTCGTCGTCGGCGAAAGCGCCTTCGCTTTCACCCCCCTCCTCTGCCGCCTATCCTCCTCCTCCTCATCATCCTCCTCATCCTCTTCCTCCTCCTCCTCCACCAGATCCTCCTCCTCCTCCTTCGACACCCTCTTCGGCGGAGGCGGCGACTCTCTGCTCTCCGGCTCCCTCTTGATCTGCCCCCCGCCCGACAAACTATTATTTTTATTATTACCGCCCGAGTGCGATAAGTGATTATTACCGCCCGAGTGCGATAACGTGTTATTGACGCCCGAGTGCGGAAAAGTCGTGTTATTGTTGACGGCCGGCTCGGAGAGGTTGATGGGCTCCTTCTGCGGCTCCAAGGGCGGTTGGTTGTTGTTGTAGAGGTTCCACAAGGTCATGCGCGACATCTCGAGCTGGTCGAGGGGGGAGGAGGGGTGGGGGGGCGGCGGGGAGAGGTCGCCCCCCTGGCGGGGCGGCGTGGCTGCGGTCGTGCCGCTGTTGCTCCGGATCTCCTTGTTGAGCAGTTTCACGTACTCCATCATGCGCGCCTCGAATTCGCTGGGCGCCAGACCTGGAAGGAAGAATTATTGGGAGGTTGAAAAGAGAGTAAAACTGCATTTATCATGCGATGGGTTTTTTGGTACTTATACGTATTTTTGTCTGAATTTGATAATGAGAATGTGAACAAACCATTACTTATCGAGATATTTCAAGAAAAAGTTCGAAATGTCGCCTTCTTTTCCCCTTGTGTTGGATGCATTTTCAGCTACTTGCTATTCTTATTTTGTCATTGGACACTTTATATACTCATGATGTACTCCAATGACTTATTTTTATGAAGCAAATTCAACAGGAAATATGATTTTAATGGCGAGTTTTTCATATTTAGTGAACAAGGATACCAGATGACGGCCATTTAATCAATAGTCAATCCAAATACGAGATGTCAAATGTCAACAGATTACTTTTGAATGACGTTACACACGCCATTATTTTAAATGATATTCTTCCTTCTTTTCACTAAATATGGATAAATCACAAGAAAATCATATTTCTATAGTTGATTCATATAATAGAAAAAAATGTGTCGTGCATCGTGATATACAGGGTGTTATTTAAGTATGTGGCCAAACTTGAAGGGGTGATTCTTTGAGTGATTCTAAGACGAAAAGTTCATATAAACATAGGTCCGGTAATGCTTCGTTTTCAAGATACAGGGTGTCAAAATTTGTAAAAGAAATCGTTGTTTTCGTAAATATCTTAATAACCCTTCAACCGATTTTATTGAAATTTGGCAGTGTTATTCAAGGTCGTGAAGGGCTAATTTAACCCCAACTATATCAAAATTATCATGTCCAGTGGCGTCCCGGAAGGCACTGTTACCAATATTTTTGACAGAAAAAATGTGCGCCACTGATTTTTTTGCAATTCTTGTATTTGTTTCACATTGAGCAACTGAAATTACAACTTTTTTATATCTAGAAATTTTGTCGTATATCTTGCTTTGTTTTTGAGAAAAAACATAAAAATCACTTCATTGCACATCCCTGTGACAACACAATAAAACATTTCAACTACTAAACCATCAGAAACTGGGGTCTTACTAATATTATTATGTATGAATTGCAGCACTTGCCTTCGGCTCTTGGCTTCGGCTCGTCAGAGAGAACACAGAGACAAAAAACACTGAGTTTCGAAAGTACATGGACAAACAGACTAGGGTTTCACGAGACTCTCGTAATTCGAGATTTCTCGTCTCGTTTCGATTTCGAGACGAGATCGAGACGAGACCACTAATTTTTTTTTCAGACGAGATCGAGAAAAACACTTCGAGATTTTTCGAGATCGAGAAATTATTTCGAGATTCATCGATCTCGAAAAAAATTATGCGCTGCAATAACTCACAGCTCCAAGTACATGTATTAAGAATAGAGGTCAACGTCATCCTAGTTCTAGTTGTGTAAAACTGGCTCAGCCAATGCTTTGTAGTTTTGACAACCTATGACAAATGTCAACATATGGTGAAAAATCATTCTCGATAGCCCGTTTTACGCAAATAGGATGACGTTAGCTTCTCTCGCTAATACTTGTACGCTATTTTTTTGAATACAACTGTACGCCAGAAAAAAGACAATGAAAAACTGAGCTGAAAAATAATTTCATAATTCATACAATAATTTGCGTGCGTTATATCGGGTTGTTCAAGAGACGACTGTATCGATAATAAAAAATGAGATTGTTACAGGTGCTGTTCACGAGCGAAGAAACACTTTCAAACATTCACTTTTCGTACCTAGGGGAATTTTAAATGTACCTATATATATGGATATAAGATTGAAATCATCAAACATCAAGAATTCGTTCACTTTTAATTTTCTTTCAATAATATTCTTTTGTTCTGGATGTATGACAAATTGATATTCATCATACAGGGCGTGGAAAGAAATTCTGAATTGATGAAATAACAAGTGTCCTTCGTACAAGTTTGAATCCTTTGATTTGGATGAAGAAAGTATTGAAAAAGAATATTCTCAGATGTATAATAAACTTTGAAAAAATTGATACAAATGCAAATTCTAAAATTCAGAAGATTTTATTTTCAAATTCTCATCGTGTGTGTTCAATAGATATAATTCAATGTTCGTCGTTCGACATAAAGTGGTTGTTTTCTGTTGAATATACCGATGAAGAATTAGTATTTTCATCACATAGAGAATGCGATTTCTCAATGCATTTCTTTAAATGCATCAATTTTTTTCATGCAATATATCTGAGAATATTCCTTTTCAATACAATATTTTTCCTTTTTTGCTGATGCTCGGCGGTTTGTTTGTTATACGTGGCTTTGAGTTCATGTATTAACATAAATCTTTTATAGAATTAACCTGTATTTTGATTCAGCTCTGGCCTTGGCCTGTACATAGCATTTTTTAATAACATTCAGTTTTAGTTTTCGAGACTCTCGAAATTTCGAGAGTCTCGAATCAAGATCGAGAAATTGTCTTCGAGAAAAACATCGAGACGAGAGTTTGTTAATTTCGTCTAGATGATCGAGACGAGACGAGAAAGTGCCTTCGAGACGAGATTTCTCGTCTCGATGAAACCCTAAAACAGACACAGCAAAGATACAGAGACACAGAGACACGTAGACTCAGAGATAGAAAAGCACAGACATCATGACACAGAAACACAGATAAAGCAGATTCTGAAGAAATATAAACAAAGAATCACAGGCCTACATTCCGATCGAAGTACGACACCCTAACACGACATCAGGAGAGAAAAACCATGTTCAGAAACTCACCCGGCAAAGGTCCCCCGTTCATCGGCTGCCCCAGCGGCTGCGGATGACTGGGATGGTGCGCCCCCCCATTATGCAACGCCTGTACTCCCAACCCCCCTCCCATCATGCGAGCGGCCAGCTGCTGCTGCTGCTGCGCCACCAGCGACAGCGGCGACATCTGCAGGTGGTGGGGATGGGAGTGGGGGCTGCGCTGCTGCTGCTGCTGCTGGTGGTGGGGGTGGTGCATGGAGTCGTATTGGCCGTAGCTGCTGCGGCGGCCTTCGCGTCGGTTGCCGTCGATGGCGGCTTGCAGTTCGGCTGGGGTGCTTAGGCGGCGTTTTTCGCATTCGTAGGGGTACAGGTATTTCATGTATCTGGAAGAAAAATGCGAAAAGTGAAATGAAAGGTGTTTCAAAATTCAGTATCGAGTTTTCCAGTGAATTTTTGAGTTTTATTAGCATAACCTCATTATCATAACCTACAAATATCTTCTTCTCTCCTTTTTCGAATCGAAACCTATATCTACACTGTATAGATTTTGGTCGAAACAGGATATATAGCGTTGTAAAAAAAAACCGGAATTTTGTTTATGTCTGATAACTTTTTCATTCATTAGCCGATTTGATTGATTTTGATCTTGTTCGAAAGAGAATTGATCAAGGCAGTCCGTTGATAACAAATTTTTCATATTCGTTCAAAAAACAAAATGGCGGAGTCACCTAAACTTGGTAGAATTTGAAAACTTGCTGGAACTTTTTCAAGTCGCACTGTATATCGTTTCGTGTGAGAATCTGGAAGTTTGGACATTTCTGAATAGAACAAGATGTCGAACATGATAATCCGTCGAAAAATACCTGATATATGACAGGATAATTATAGACATGTATGTTTTGGAACTTTTATGCTCATTTTCATTCGTTATTTCCAAGATCCACCTCATTTATGATTTTCAAAGTCTTCAAAATCATGATAATTTTGAGTCAAGTGGTATAAAAAGCATAAATTACGATTCCTTCATGGAATTCAACTCAATACAATCATTCTCAAACAAAAGGAAAAACGATATTGAACAAGAAACAAGAGTAAGCGAGAAAATTATGTTCTAATGTGGTCCCCATCAGCTTCAACCACTAATTCCACACGTCGTCGCCAACTGTCAATTGATTTCCTAATATTAACTTGGCTGGTTTCCTCCCAACACTGAAGAATTCTCTCTTGTAGTTGTTCAACATTTTCAAATATTGTTCCATTTTTGTGAACTCTAGCCTCCAAATCACCCCACAGAAAATAGTCACAAGGATTCAAATCTGGACTATTTGGAGGCCATTCTTGTGGTTCTAAAAAATTGGCAACGTTCTCTCTTAAGTAATTAATGGTGTGTGCACTGGTGTGACATCTCGCGCCATCCTAAAATCAAATTTTTAATGGAAGTAGTCAAAAAATAATAAATGATATAAGAAAAACTCGAGGAAAATGATGAGAAGATACAAACATACCTGCATGAAAATAAAGTCAGGAGTTGAATCCTCTATTTCTGGAAGCATTTGTGCTAAAACAGTGTCACAATAACTCTGTGAATTTAGCCTGACCCCTTGCCTAATGAAAATCAAATTTGCTTTATGTTCTCTATAAATTCCTGCAGAAACCATGACGTACTTAGTGAATTTATCTCTTTCACTCAGAAGACGTTCCAACGGCGTTTCCCGTTTTCGTTGGTGGTGAGGTTAACAAAATCTATCATTTTGCGAGTTTTTCAAGGGGTTGATTGTGAATATTTTTTCGTCGGTGAACCAAATTTTTTGAATATCTCTCCTAGATCTGAATTTATTCAAAAGATTTCTACATCTCAACAATCTTCTGGCTTTGATTTCAGGAGTGAGTTTGAATGAATACATTCGCTTAAAAAAAATAAGCCCCAAATCAATCTTAATTATCCTGTTCACAGAGCTACGCGAAATTCCAGATCTTCTGGAAATTTGCGGAACGCTAAAGCTGGTCCTAGGCGCCCTTTCGGGACTCACAGCCAAATTCAAGACTTGGGCAATATTTTCCTGAAATGAGTTTTGGTAGATCATAAGACATACAATGATAGCACCTAGCTTACCAACCTGTGTTCTGACACTCCTTGGCCGCCCACTTCCTTCGCGTCTTGCAATGGAGTGTGTTAAGTTAAATTTCTTTACGAAATCGTAAATTGTACTTTTTTTATACCGCTCGACAGCAAAATGTTGTAAAATATCACTCACTCTGTATCCTCTCAAAATTAAAGTTTTGATAAAATTTTTATCGTCATTGGAAAGCGCCATTATATACACTTTAGAAAGCAAAAATGAAGTGATTTCTATCTCAAAAAGTCAATTCAAGAGCTGTCAAGAATTACAAATAACAAGAATCAACAACACAAAAAGCGATGAAAAATTGGTAACAAAATGTGAAAACATACATGTCTATATCCTGTCATATATCAGGTATTTTTCGACGGATTATCATGTTCGACATCTTGTTCTATTCAGAAATGTCCAAACTTCCAGATTCTTACACGAAACGATATACAGTGCGACTTAAAAAAGTTCCAGCAAGTTTTCAAATTGTACCAAGTTTAGGTGATTCCGCCATTTTGTTTTTTGAACGAATATGAAAAATTTGCTATCAACGGACTGCCTTGATCAATTCTCTTTCGAACAAGACCAAAATCAATAAAATTGGCCAATAAATGAAAAAGTTGTCAGACAAAAACAAAATTCCGGTTTTTTTTGGATAACCCTATATATTATTGGTTAACACACAATTTACCTCCACCCTTTATAAATTAGTAAATATTATATTCGTTTTCATCAAATTCATCAATTCCGTATGTGATATAATATGTGAAATTTTTTGGATGACAGAATGTCCCATTCGTCACACTCCGACAGGGTGATTGATGATTCACAGACCGACAAGATCTGACAGCTTCCAAAAGGAATTTCAGCCAACGTTTCAAAGTAGATGATTTCCATCATCATTTGTGGCTGATCGATTAGCAATTTTTGAGCTATATGTTGGGAAGTTGTCGGAAGGTTCACAGGTCAACATTATCCAACTATTCTGGAGATTCTCATGCTTCCAACGGTTATCCAGTTTTATCTGGAAGACAACTTCATATTTCGACAGATTATAAATCATCTGGTTCAAAACAGAATTATCATGCCCCATTTTTTTTTCGCCAGTGCTATTGATACGTTACCGTGGACTACCAGAAGCCCTGACCTGAATTCTATTGAAAATGTATGGAGATACATTTTGTAGTATCTTACATTTACATGGAAACATCAAATGTTAAATGAAATTTCAAAAATAGCCTTTGTCATTTCCATCATAATCAATATGAAAATGGATTGGTAATCTTGAAACCAATACCATAATTCTGCTCAAGTTCTTGCTAATTGAATGCACCCAAAACACTTGAATCAGGTCATAAAATGCTAATGAGGTGTACCCTTGGATAGATCGACATTGTGCCTAAACGATGAATAGTACATGGGCTTAAACAAAATGTACCAAAATAGCTGAAGAGTCGCTACGATTATTTTGTGGAGTAGTGTACTTAGCAAAACAACGTTTGCGCCGGAGTCAGCTAAGAATAGATAAAATGATGATTATAATCATGTTCATCCACCACTAGGTAATGTTTTCAATTTACAATGGTTTTCCCTAGTTGTGAATGAAATCATTTTCATTTCGATGGTGTTGAGAAACACTTGTTTTTTGGATGAAATCCGATAAAAAAGCTCATTATTCAAAATCAGTTGTTTGTTGAACCTTCTTAAAAATAAATCGCGTAATATATGATTCACGATCATACAATAACGATCTTGGCACCAGTGACTGTCTTCATTCAAAAAAATTTCGGACCCGCGCGTTTCACTTTTAATGTCCCACTCATTTTTCTCCGAACGATTTGTTATTCGAAAAATTTTGTCACATTTCAAACGATTTCAGTTCTACGTCTGATGATTTATGTCTCGGAAATTCATTGTTGATTGTAAATGAAAATAGAAGAAAGAATAACAATGTTCCTAGAATAAAATATCCAAAAGGACGATCACCTGATAGTTAGAGAAGAAGGTTACATTCTGATAATAGCTATGTATTTTCATAAAATGGGGACATTATACTGGATTCCCTATTACTAATTATGATTTTTTTTTAGCAGTGGATGTGATTTTTTGAAGTGTTTTCTTTTACTCATTAACTTGTTCTGAATTTTGAGGATCTCCAAATTTAGTCTGTCTATAGAATTTTCAAAAGTCACGTCACATTCACCAAATTTGAATACCATAGAGCAAAAATAATTTGGATGATATAAGACATCGGTCATTTTGAAATGTTTCAGGATAGATTAATAGTGTATGTACATATACCATGGTGACAGTTTTTTTTCGCACAAGTAAAACTTCTGGAGATGCTCGTTTTACAGTATAGTGTAAGTATATATTTTTTTTATTTTCACTCAAGTTACCTTCATTCAAATTTGGGCTACTTGCATATAACTCTTCATATTCATTAGGGTTAAAAACACAAACTAGCCAGATACACAAGCACAAACACTAATCATTATTAAATGTCAGTGGAGTGGTCATATATGGCACAACATATAAAACAAATATCTACCCCTTGACTATTCTGCAGAAATTCTTCCTAAGGGTAATTTGCAAAGTAAACCGAACAGAGCCCTCAAAACCACTTTTCACCTTATTGAAAATACCGAATATCAGAGAGCTATGTTGCATCTGTATCAGTAAATCTGTAAAAAAATATCAATCCTTACTAAATATTAACGCTCAGTTTATCCGTAACCAGAGAAGCGGCACCTAAAATTATTAATATTATTCCTCCAGACATTATTGCAAGTCCTCACAATTTTCCACTGTTTGTTAAGAAAATAACAAAATACTTCACCAGCATCGATGTTCAAGAAATATTTGAAATTATTGAGTAAAGGAAATCTTTTCAATCAGGTAATAGTTCAAAATAATATAAATTTCATACCAACCAAAATATTCAAGGTGACCTTTAAAATTATATTAATACTTTTATAATACATATAATCTTCTTCTTCTTTCCACGTTTTGAATCTTTTTCACCCTCTCTACATAGTTACTTGTATAATTATGATTATATCCTTCACACACAGGTATATTGCTGCCTTGTGAAGATGCCAGTAAATGTATTTATTGTTAAAAACAATTGATTTATATAGTATAAGTAGATATATGGAAAGAAAATAAACATAATATTATGATTTAAATAAGATAGCACAGTTCTCCGCATTGATATAATATACTTGGTAAGCTTACTCACAGATTACCATTTCTTGTAAACTATCAAGTAGTAATATCAAGGACAACGGCGTAGGTATTAGTGTATTTATCCCATGTATTGCAGTTACTATGAATATGTAATATCTACTGTATTGACCCACTTAATATGTAATGTAATGTACAATTTTTCTTTTTTCTGGCAATAAATGAATGAATGAATGAATGTATATCAGTATTCTACTGATCCAATCTATTTTTTTCTGTGTCGAAAACGTTTTACTCACTGTGTCCTAAGTGTGAATGCCGCCGAAGTGATAGACGATGGTAGATGAAGACCTTTGATGATCTCTTGCCATAATTTCTTGTTTATAACGTCCACTAGTCCACCTCTGGCTATCACCAAGTTATACAGTTCGTACAAGTCCAGGACAGACTTCGCCATTATCGGGAGTCTGTTGATCGGAGTACCTGGAAGGAATAAAAGAAAACATGATTTTTTTCATCATTACTGAGATTTGGTGAAAATTCAATAATTTGAATACGGCTGAGCGAAAAATTTAGATTAGTCTCTTTCTCTTAGCTCTTTGCGATGGTTCAGAAAAAATAGTAATGTCTAGAGAGTTGATTAATTTAAATTTAGCGTCAGATTATAATTTCATCTATTTTAGTTGGCGGTATGTACTGGATGAGACTCAGGAGATAAACAAATGGCATCTATCCCAGATCCAGACTACTCGAATTTTTATATCCTCGAAGAATACGATGTGATGCGTTTAATTTCGACATTTTTCGAATATATATATGCCGTGACGGATCGTTGAATGAAACATATGTTTGAATTTGAACGCTCCGATGAGCTATCAAAACGTCTGACGACTGTTTTCGTTGTAAATTTTTGTTTTGATATCTACGAATTAGTTTTCAACGGAAATTGAGAAAACGAAAAAGGACGATGAAATGAACGCGAACGGAAAAAGGCTTTTTCCTAGTTGAAAATACACCTAGACGAGCGAATTTCGAGAGCAAAGTCGCTTAGTTTCTGAGATAAAAAAAACTGGCGTAGAACCAGGTAAAACCTGGTCCATTTCTTCAATTAGGTTGTCGTGTACACGAAATCACTTTTTACGACATTTTTTAGTGGTCGTGAACTTTTTAATTTCAAAAAAACTCGAAAAAATGGATTAATATGTGAAACATGTTTTTTTACGTCTCCACCGTTATATCTCTCAAAGTAATTGTGGTTTTGGGCTGATTTTTTTTTTAAATTGAAGAAGATTCAATAGCGGTTCTAACCACCTACTTTGTGATTTTGAAATGTTTTTATTCGATCTGTTAAAATGATAACAAACTTGACATCGATATTTTTGTAGATGTAAATTATAGCAATCGATAAAAAAGTTTATTATTGGAAATTTGTGTATACATTATGCGAACAAAATGGGGGGAATGTATGAAAAAAGTTTTTGGAATGATAATTTTTCATGTATGTATGTATGTATACAGTCAGCGATTTTAACAAAACGGGCTAAAATTGCGCTCGGGCGCGCCCGGCTCTCTTATTACCCAGTTTATGTCTGTCGACTACATAGGTAGCAGATCCGTACGTACGTTATGGTCGGACTTCTGATGGGATAATACCTTTTAATGTTTATATTTCAAAATATTGAACTATCTAAATGATACATCAATCAATGTTTCAAACTAAATTCTTTCCTTTTCCTCCAGAATGATTATTTAATTATTTTTGACCGGAACTAAAAACGTATGCATCAAACAACTTTTATTTTTTCAATTATTTCAATAGATTAGGTACATCAAAAGTATTCAAGTTCGTCAATTTCTCCTATATCTTCCTCAGAATCTTCGGTAACATTATTACAAAAACGACATTTACAATCTTCACAACATTTTAGGCATTCTTTGAAACAACCACATTTTCGACTTTCACAATTTTTATCCGAACAATATATACTTTATGATTGCCGAACAGAACCAGGAATTGGTTTATCATTCGAAAATATTGAAATCCAAACGTTGTTATTCAAATTCCATCCTGAACCATCTGTATTTATAAGTGGTGTTGCTATGTTGCTGCTGAACCATATTCTGAGTTGATATATACACCTAAAATTTCAATAGTCAACTGAAATATTGTCATCTTATGTTAATATAAATATAAGTATGTTCATAATGTAATAATGAATATAATCTCCACGTTCACCTTGGGAAGTGCTGGTAAAAGGCACCTCCACTTGGGGGAAGCTCTGCAGACGGTTTTTTCAAGAACGTCAAACGTCGATTTTTTTCCTATTTTGAAAAACTACTAGTTGTTTCGCAACCAGTAGAACAATGAAGTGCCAACAGACAAGAACGCATTGTAGGTCCTGAACTTTGCACTACTTTTTCAATTGAGATAAATCGTTTGCTAGTACCGTGTCCAAGATGCATAAATAAATTACTTTTTCCCAACAAAAAAAGTGGATGAGTAAAATCTGCTGAATTCAATTTCATGTATAGCATGCAAAATAATCCTTGTATCTGCCTCTTCGTGTTTGTTAAAAAATAGAGCCTCAACAATTTCCGAATGATGTTTATGCATTGAAACTACTTTTTCTGACATTTTGCATCCCCTAGCTGTCATCAATATTTCATTTTCGTTTAAGTACTTTGCAGCGTTTTGTATTGTGCTTGGAAAAATAAGTTATATTAGTATATAACTGTTTAATTTTATAAGATTTCAAAAAGTGTCGATATTTTTGTAATTTTCGGCTACCAATAACGTTAAAATGTGCTTATAGCTTTAACAGAATTTTCATTGTAGGTGTCAAAAACTACCACTGTTCGAAGTGCTCGACATCTGCGCCCAGCATTAATTACAGCTGCCAAAAAAGTCCTCTCTAAATCGTTAAAAGTTGAAACTCGCGTATTTTTGAAAATTAATCTTATTAGTCGGACTGTTTATGGATCATGGCTACAATGTATTGTTATTGTAAACAAACTGATATGTTGCTGGTCCTCGCGGGCTTTACAAGAACTCTCGTGTTACAAATATAGCGATAACTATATTCAGTACCTAAGGTGAGCACTTTAACGCCCTGTACCAACTCAACGAAACGATTTTGGATATAGGTAAGTGGGCCAAAATGAACTTATTTCTGTCCCAGGAGTCCACAGTCAAGCCATGTCCCAACCAGATTATTTTTTTTCAAATGCATAAGATGCCTCAGATCATCAGAAATTATTTATTTGCAAATGAACCTCGAGACTCATCAACAATTAACACGATACAAAATATTCAACAGATATCAAACTTTCCTTCTTTTTTGTTCCAGTACTACTGCTGATACGGCACATTTTTCTGATATCAAATGTTTGTGATTCAAACCGAGGTCCAGAATAATTTGAGGGTCCGGCCTCACTGTCATTTCGCAAAATACTATTGATATTTTGAAAGCTTGTGTGCGATTTTTGGCAGTCTGAGTGAAACTTTATTTTTAGGTCACTATTAAAAATTCTTTTTTTTTGCGACAGAATTTCCTTTGACCGATTGTCTTGTCTCCTCTCAGCACTTGCTATTAGTGACAACAATCCTTGTATTCTAGGTCTTTGTACCACAGATTTGTCATCATCCCGCACAATATTTCCACAAATAATACACTCTATTTTCTCAGAGAACTTCTTATAAATATCGGCGCATGTAGATGTTACGCTGAATGCCGTTTACATCAAACTAATCCACCCTCGTCTTTCGGTGGCGCGTGCCGATATTGAGCGAGCAATAAAAAAATCATTGTTGCTAAACTATACAAAATGGAGGAAAAATCATCAGCTCAAAAACTTCTATCATATATGGGCTCCATTTGTTTCGCTATATGTATATAAAAATTTCCAAAAATAAAAAAGTTTATCGATTGGTGCAAATTGTAATGCATAAATTTTGAATTCCATGCTCTCTTGATTTTTGAAAAATGAAAGAAGAAAATTTTGTAAAATCCATCGGTACTGTTAGAAGCGCTATTGTGTTTAGTTCAACCTAGAGAAAAAAACACTTCGATATCTTCATTGATTTCAAAGATATGACGGTGGAAACAAAAAAAAATACATTTTATTTAAAGTGCATTTTTTTCAGTTTTTTCTCAGTTAAAAAGTTCCAGACCACAGAAAAATGTCGTAAAATACGATTTCATATACCTAGTGATATGGTCAACAAAACCTACCATGTCTGACCTGGTTCTACGTCAGAAAAAAAAAACGACACGATAGGGTCTTGAATTTACTACACTAACCAGTCAGGCAACCAACTACTCTTTTCTTGCCAGGTGGCGTTCGGCGTTCATTTCGCGGACGTTGAACGCCTCGTGGGGTATAAATACTGAGATGCATTTACGTTGAGTCAGGTGATAGGTTCGCACCAGATAGCGGTCAAGAATGCTATCTGGGACAGCCCTCCACTGATGAGAGCCATCAGCTTGAAACTGGTATGCAGGTAGTCACGCGTTCCTGAACCACTTAGGCGCAGCTCGGCGTTTAGGAGGAAGGAAGGAAGCACTTGCGATTTCATTCGTCTACGAGTTATTGCAGACTTCGGGAGGATGAAATCCAATGTTCTGCTTGGCATATAGCCAGGAAAGTAGTTGTTTTTCTCTCGTTATCCACCATTTTACTTCATTTTATGAACTATTGTGGTAATGACTTTGTGTTTCTCTTTTGTGACCATGGCATTCTGAGTATTTCGCTTTCTCCTGGTTGAATTATCATATAGTTAACGACCAGCATGAGCACTAGGCAAATGCTGCATCCTAGGTGAAATATTATGTAGTCAACGACCATATCATATATGAGTGGGATTCCGTGCGAGTTATACACTATACTTTTTCTACGGCTGTAACAGATAACAGCGAAATCTTTGATTTCTTCGGCTTGTAGCCATCTGATTTTCATAAGTAATATCACGATATTCTGAATATCCGAGATTTTTTTTTGTTCTGGTTCCCACGAAAAGGGATATTCTGTAATGTTCAGAGAACATCGTGAGAACCAAGGGAAATAAGGTAGGAATTGCGGTTCTTCTTAAATTTCTGGAGGTTATATGTCTCGGGGAACACCTCCCTTGGCAATGTGTTCCAGAGCCTCGCTGTTCGTTGGATGAACGAGTCTTTGGAAAGAGATGTTCTACAGGTCTCCAAAGTGACCACGAAGGGGTGCGAAGCCTCAACTCGACGGGTTAATCTCGAGATAATTCTGTCGCTTCATTGTTCACGAAATTGTGTTGCCAAGCAACACCACGAGTCCGTCAGGACAAGTGGTATTGCTGTACGGCCACATTATGAGAAGATATTCAGAACAGAGTGGTATTTTGCTAGACTATTTCACGTTCACGAAGCATATAAAAAGCATTTTTTATAAATGAATGATTCATTCTGACAAGTACAGCCATGATTATTTTATGCCAAACTGACAGACTTTGCT